TCAACTGAAAGTTTAAAACTGGAAATTATGATCTGAGCTTTTTAGAAAGTTTATAAAAATGTTAGAAAGGTTCCCATTCAACCCAGTAGTCACATATGGGAAATATAATTTACTGCCTTTCCTCTGGAATACAAACATCAGTTAGCAAGATGACAATTTTGTGGTAATTTTAAAAGCAGTAGTTCTTCAAATTGCCCTTTTCAACCAACTGCAGGAAAGTATTTTGGCTATCAATGCTACAAAAAAAAAGTTAGACAAAAGGAAAAAGCTAGGTCATAACATCATTCAGTGGGGGAATCACAAAAGCCAAAATTATATGATTTGACTTTTCCATTTCCTTAGAAATCCTTCAGTTTTCAATGTCAGCATTTGCTTGAGAAAATGTCCCTTAATTTTTACTTGAAAGATATCTCATAATACTTCCCAAAAGTAAGAGAATTAGATTTGAATAATAAACAATATTGAGGATAAAATGTCAATACATGTCCCTAGTTTTGACAGAAGTAACTTCAATGTTACTTATTTTAGGTCAGGTGTGTAATCTGCAGTCTCCCAGAACGAGATGGCTTACAACTTCTATCACTGCTCATCACTAGCAATGCTGGGGAAGGCTAATGGAGGCATTAGTCCAACAACTTGTGGAGGATTGGTTACAAGATGCCCACCTCTGTTCTAGAAAGTATCAATGCAATTTGCAGCTTGATTACTTTCATGCTTCACTACAAATCAATACAAACCAGACAGCAATGATGTATAGGTAACTGCTATTTCTATACTCTACTGACTTCCTATAGACTTACTGGTGTGAATCCATTTTGGTTCACAATAAAGAGAAACCATGGGCAGTTTCTTCCAATTCTAGATGCATGAAATTAACTCAAAATGTAATTTTATACATTTAGAATAGTCCCAAATTCCTGAGCTGGGTGATGAGAAACATCCTAAACACACATCATAACTATCCTAGCCTTTCTCACATGAAATATATACGGTGCTTCAAAAAGATTAATCTGATTTGAAATTGCTACATCTCTGAAACTACAAACCACCAAAGAAACTCTTCCTATTTGAAAGGGTGGGGTATAGATTTTCAAATGCGACTGCTAGATGCCCCTTCCAGTGAACAAACGGACCCTACCCTCAGTCAATTGCAAGATGTCGACCTTGCAGCATAAGGCATTTTGTGTTCTCTATGGTTCTAATGTTGTCTGCACAGCAGGTGGAAGGCACATAGAACATTAATAAAATGATTAGTAGAACTTTTTTGAAACACTCTGTATAACAGAAGTGAGAGGTCAAGCCAGCAATGCCCAATTCAAGTCCTAGATGTAAAACAGTGATTCTCAACCTGTGGGCCCCCAGGTGTTTTGGCCTAGCACTTCCAGAAATCCCAGCCCGTTTATCGGCTGTTAGGATTTCTGGGAGTTGAAGGCCAAAACATCTGGGACCCACAGGTTGAGAACTACTGATGTAAAAGGATTCACCAAGCCACTCATCATGTGAGTGGTATACAAAGGGAAATCAGACTTCATAGTTATAGTACTATTAGCCATTAGTCCTGATTAACCCTCAACCTGGCAGATGGGACAGCTTAGCCTTGCTGTCATGTTATGTTAAAGACACTGAAACTAGTTTAATTTTCGAAGCTGAGCGGGATTGGACTTGATTAATTCTTGGGTGGCAAATAACCAGGGGCTCCAAATAGGATTAGAAAAGAATCTTGCCTGAAACTCTGAAAGGCTGTTCCCATGCAAAGTTAACAACGCTAAGCTTCTGGAAATATAAGGCAGCTTCCTACGTTCTCCAGGTCATGTCGTGTACACAAAGAACTAGAACCACAACGTAGATAATTTATGATATTTCCACCTGGAAAGCTGTAAGCAATATTGCAAAGTATTAAGCACCTGACACCCACACGTTCTCAGATAAATACTGGCATAAAGAATTACGATCTATGACATACAAAGCTAGATTTACCTTGGAGATTAATTCACATTTCTCCATTTATGTTCACACAAACATTGATTCATTGACTGTTTCATTCTAAGGGTGATTACTCATGGAACATCTTTAATTGTCATTAACAAAGACTCCAACAAATCCCTTAAGTAGAGTCAAGGTGGGGAGGAAGAAGCTTCCCCTGGGCAAGGCTACAAAATTCCAGGGCAAGTTTCTTCCAAATGCCTAATCTTAATTAAGAGACCACTGAACCACAATATTTAACAGTTTCATACTTTTATATAAAATTTTATACCATGTCATATATTAGGAATATAAAGTAAAGTACAATAAATAACTACAGTTATAATTCCTTGTTACACTATCTTAGAGGACAAAGAAAATTATGTATCCCATGCTCTTCATTCACAATATACCTTCCATTGTTGTTTTTGACATCCATGAAATTAATCCTGTAGAGAAAGAGAACTAGCTAGGTTCACAGTGTTCTTTGTCTCTTTCCTGTATTTTAAAATACGTGTTTTATACAATCCTGGCAAAACGAAGGCTGAAGAATCTAAAAACAGTTTTCTGTTCCAATAGCTTCAAAATCTCCTGCAAACAATTAACCCAGTTTTTTCATCCACGTAGCTGGAATTTTCAACAAATGTTGTTTCCCCAAAATGAAAGGTAGTTCTAGCTTTTCCATTAGTAATGATGAATATTTCAAAAACATCTGTTTACTTTAAAAAATCCATTGAGCTTTCTAAATAATAATGAAGTATAAAGTTCAAGGAAAAAATGCCTTGGCCAAACCATGTTGATGTAATGTATTTGCTAAAGTTAAAAATATAATTCAATTTAATGGTTAATGACAGGAACTACTCAGGTATCCTGTAACTGCACATGGATAGTAAATAATTCAGAATTATTACTGACAACTGTTAACATCAATGAGAATGTTTGAATTTTGAGAACACATGTTGTTTCTAATATTTTTTTCATATACATATAACGTTTAAACATAAGAAGAGAGTTCTAGATAGAGGTTCATATACACTTTTTATGCAGTACAAATACCAGCTCAGGTAAAAATAGTTCCTAGTTTATGCCCCTCATTTTCCTCAAGCATATTTCTGAGGAGCCATTGCCATATTCAAACATGAAAGGACTATAACTCGAGTTATATTGCAACATTGGTTTTAAAAGTGAGTCCACATGCTTCAATGTTTGAAAATGGTAATGGCTTTCTGCTCATATTCTTGAAAACTAATGAAAGTCTCCGAAAGTCACCTGTGCTATGGTAAGATGGCCCAGAGGAATATATTTTACCCACCATGGATGGGTGTTCTAACCAATGCAAACCACAAATACATTGGCACTTTCCAGCAAGTATTAGCCACCGAAGAATCTTTAAGAGACACTCCACATTCTTCTTCCTATCTTCTTCCCTTCCACAAAGTAAGTTTTCCAGGCTTAGGACAGAAAAAGGGGGAGGCAAGGTTGGGTCACCCACTTTGTGAGTGTTCTCCAACCTTTTTACGAGGTCTTAAAATTAACACTTACAATCTCATCTCACCAGAGCCTGTATCCACTTTAAATCTGGTTTCTGCCTCCTGGAGAATTCTGGGGTTTGTAGTTTAGTGAGACCCAGGACTTGTCTGGCTGAGCAGTTTAAAGTCCCCTCCCTAAACTACAAGCCCTAGAATTCCGCAGGAGGCAGAAACTGGATTTAACGTGGATCCATGCTCTAGTGTGATGACGTCCTTGCAGAATTCAAATTCAGTTATTGCTCAACTGTAGTGCTCAAAAAGTGTCTAGAGGAGAAGCAACTGAACACTCATGCGATTTTGACTGAAAGCTTTCCCGATGGGGAAACTGTTACAAAATTAACTCTCTATGCTGAAATACTGAATAGGAAAAAATGTAAAGAGAATTTGTATTTCTGAGGAGAAGAAAGAAATGGACACCTGCAATACATCACATTCATGTTGCATAGAAAAGCAACAACTGCATTCAATTGTACCTACTCTTTGAGATTCTGTTTACTCAAATAAATTTGGCAAAATGTTATGACAATGTGGATCTATGTTTTTTCACTATTATATTTGCTTTTATGGCTACAACTAGTATCAAAAATTTTGCGAAAAGTTTACAAAAAGAGTTTGAAAAAAGGAAACACATAAAAAAATCTTTGAAGTATTTGCTATATGCTGTCTATGGACAGTGTTGAAGACTATATTTAATCTACTTTTCACTAATCCTGAGAGAATTTCTGAGTTTGAAATACTTGTAAGAATTAGTATGAACTATAAAATTAGTAGTATCCATCTGTTTATGATAGAAAGCTAAGCATTCATTAACAGGGAAAAACCACATTCCTGCAGCTTAATGTTATGGTTAAGCCTCAAAGATTGTTCTTGTATTTTGACTTTTAAAAGCATAAACACTGCACAATGAGAATACATTGTATAACTAAGCTATTCATTGCTACAGAAAAATTCTGTCACACAAGAGTCTGCCAGGCATTTAGTGGGCCAATGTGTCAGTGTAAGAGAAGTAAAAGAGACTCGCAAATGCTAATGAATACCCTGGCTACAGAAGAAAAAAAATCTGTGGTTTCAGTTCATTTTGTCAGTTACTGCTGTGCATATTAGGGCAGTGACAGCACCACATAAAAATGTAAGGAGTTGGCAAGTGGGAAGATTAGGAACTATGATGTCAACTACCAAAATGGTCAGCCATGCTTGTGTGCAGCAAAATCACTCAGAAGAAATAACTTAGTCCAGGAATTAAAACTTGGGGCACACATTGCTCTTGGAAACAAATATATATTTAGATTGGCAACTCTTGAAACGTCAAATTTGTCTAGCACCTTGACAGTTACACTAATAAACAGTAAAATAGAAATTTAAAATAGCCACAATGCTTGCAATCTGGTACTCTTCCAAAAGTTATATCTACAGCCATCCATACAAGATCTAAAAGAAGTTTATTTAAAAGGACACTTCAAAGATGACCCACACTGATGTTCTAGATATTCAAAACATGCTTTGCATTACCTTCATTGCTTGAATTTCTTCCAGTAACCTCTGTACACGTTTGTGATTTTTCAACACTGCTTCTTCAGTGCCCCTGAGGGAGGAAAGTATTCAATTAATACTTTTGATAGTGTGTGTGTGTGCATGTGTGTATGTACGGATATATATAAACAATCAGTTTTTGTTGGCTGTATAACGAATTATAATAGGAATTAGTACCAACAAGGCAATAGGTTCACTTCATTCTCTGCTTCTAAAACATAATCTTATAAAATATTATCACACAGATCCAAGGACAACAAAACTTTCTTTATTCCCTAATCATGATTAGGAAAAATGATCTTTCACTGGTAGGTAAGGGTTTTGGGTTAATTTATGGAACTTATTTTAATGGCTTAGTATTTGACCCATGCATTTGGGCTGCCAGGAAATAGTTTTACCCCAAATGATAAATATATAAATATTGTGACATTTTTCAAATCAATGGCATGCTCTTTCCCTAGCATTGTGTGAAAGATGAGACTAGAAACATCAACTTTCTGGTTTAAAATATGTGTACTTTACTATGTTTGAAGCGGCAACAACAATAGCAATTCTTTATTACAGTACAAAGACCCAGCAAGTTCAAATTCATAACATGCAAGATAAATTAAGAACACGAGGTCAAATACAGTTATCTGTTCCCCAATTCTGACAACCTCAGACAAAAAACTAGCAAAAGCAAATATCAAACCGGAATTCTTATTTTCTTGTAAGAATTTGACATAAATCTGGGTTGATTTTCCAGGAAGATTCAACATTAATGGATTAATCATATGTTGTCAAGTCTGTCTGTAGAATGCACAAGAGAAAAGATTGTGCTTCATGGATTCCACTTCATGGTTACTGTAGGGTCATAATATTGTGATATAAGGAACACCAGCAAAACTACGGTGGAGAATCAGATTTCCAACCGTCCAACTCTCCAACACTACACAATGATTTAATATTATGTCCAAACGTACTAGTTGACAATGTATCAAAAATAAAGTGTTCCAATAAATACGTATTGTAGAACCGTGACTATTATCTTTTCTTGAATTGTTTATTTCCCATTCAACAGTTGTATAGCAATGTGCACACTAGCCTCTGACACTGACCAGGGATACTAAGGCTGTCTCCCATAGAAAGAATATAGAATCATAAAACTAAAGGAGACCACAATAGGAATCCAGTCCACTTCCCTGTCATGTAGAAATACACAATCCAAGTATTCCTGATACAAGCCATCCAGTCTCTCTTTAAAAATCTCTGGATAAGATCCTATCACATTCCAAGGTAGTATATTCCATTGTTGGAAGATTTTGCCATCAAAGAAATTCTTCTTAATGTTTAGGTGACATCTCTTTTCATGTAATGTGAATCCGCTGCTCTGAGTTCCAGTCTTTAGACAGTAGAAAACAAAGTTGCTCCACCTTCAATATGATATCAATTTAAATGCCTAAAACGTGGTTGCCATGTTATCTCTTAACCTTCCCTTCTGAAGCCTAACCATAGCCAGCTCCTAAGCCACACTTCATGGTTTCCAGACCTTTTCCTAGTTTGGTTGCCCTCTTCTGGATATGTTCCAAAATGTCAATATCATTCTTGAATTATGTTGCCCAGAACTGGACATATGGTAAAGAGAAGACATTCATGGACTTCAAAGATGGAGAAACCGGAGGAAGATTACTTTCCTCTCCTTGTCAGAAAAACCACTTGACTCCAACTGCTAGTTGTCTGGGATTGCAAAATGAAAAACACACGCACACGCCTCTTCCTTTACACAGGGAATTAAGAGACTTTGGGCTGTATATGAATGTGTCAGGAAAACCAAAATGGTCATTTCTCTATATCAGATGATACTACTCAGCTTGTATAACATCAGAAACTTGAATTTGCTTGCTTGTTTCTACCTTCCCACACCTCAACTCTTGATGCTCTTCAAGTATAGGACTGGCTGGTATCCGAGGCTAATGACATGAGAGAATGAGTCTAGCTCCAACAAATAGGATATGGCAAAAGCTGACCAAAAAAGGAAATATCTTTAATCCTGAGGCACCTGGAGATGACAAGGGCAACAGGATAGGAAAGCCTGGCTCCTCAGTTTCATTTCAAATATGATTCTTTTGGAATCCTTTTAGAATTTTAGACACCAATCTTTATCTCCAACTATATGAAATATGGTGTAAAGTGTAAGTAGTAGTCATTGAATGGTTGCTGTGCTACTAACTAAAAAGCAGACAAAAATAACAGGAAATGTTGGATTTATATTACCCAACTAATGTTGTATAGATGAGAAGCGTACATCTAACTCAGGATTTGGTCGAAGTCACATATGATTGATGTGTTTTACACGAAAAACAGAGGGGAAAAAAATTAAACTTACTTTTTTGATTTTAGTTTTGCAATGTGTCTGGTCAGTTTGCGAATTGTCAGAACTCGAATCTTTTTAACTTCTTTTCTCATTTTTACAACCTGTTTTGGAGAAAACCCATAACATAAAATGTTAGGCAGAATATTGCAAATATAACTTGGATTATGCCAAGTTTACAAATCACTTTCAGCAGAGTAAGCTTCCTTGCTTATCATATTCCTGAATTCAGATTTCTCTTTAGAATCAAACCACTTCCAAAATCATTCAGCCAGTTGAAAAACAAATCAGTAATCTATGAGGCCTGAATGCAAACAATGTATGAAAAAGCCAAAACATTACTATGCAGGCCTGTTGAATATTCTTAGATGTAGGCTATACTTCAATCAAGACAGGTTATTTGTTCATTAACATACCCATGTTATCATAACAATCCCTGTACCACCTTCTTCAAAGATATGTACAGAACAAGATTCTCTTCAATTGACACATAAATGATCTAATTTAAGATAATGATTAAAAATAATTGTTCATTCTTTAGTAACTTCATAATGTCATTTAACCGTGAAATAGCCAGTTTTCTATCACAACATAATGTAAGTATACACTGACAGCCAAAACATCATGAATACAAATTTTATCTTAAGACACTAATTATGCAAAGCAACATTCTGAATCTCAATTTTTCAATGAAATAGTACAAGTATTAAACCTGTTGCTGATCATTCAAATAAATTTAATTGTTTAAAAATACTTCATTACCACAAGGAAATATTTTATAGTTATGTCTTTTGTTTGTGGTGAAGTGTGACTTGTAACCTGCAGTTATGTATAATTATAGATAGGCGTTTGAAAGGGTAAGTATTTAAAGATTTAAAGTTGCATAAATGGGGGGGGGGGAATGGTAGCCAGCTCAACTAACTTTGAGCTGGGTTGCTATGGAAAAGGGGCGGAGCCAACTGCCACTTGGCAGGGCAGCCATTTTAAAACGGTCAGTCTGTAGTGTGTGAACTGCAGGAGTGGCTGGTTCTGTAGTAGTGAGAACCAGGAAGGTAATCTGTAGTTTAAAAACTATAGGGAAAGGCTGATTCTACTGTAGTGAGAATCAGGAAGGTTTTGGCTTTTAGCCTAGGTAGTTTAGATAAGTCAAGTTGACTTATTTATATTAGTAGTTGGTGTATGAGTAGAAAGGGTGAGAGAAACCCAGTGAGAATCTTGAATACAACAGAAATATCACAAAGGAAGAATAAGCTTGTATCTGAAGTAATCTACTAAGGAAAGAATCATAGTTTGAAGAAAAATAGTTTGAAACCTGTTTAGTGGAAGGAAGAGTCCCTTCCAGAGTTCTTTTAAGAAATGTTATAAATGCAACCTCTGAAGATATGTGCCTCTAAGAGTCAAAAAACATTGAAACCAWYAAGCTTCTGCTACATTTCAATACACTTGTTACAGTTTCTTATAAAGCCGGTCTCTGTTACAAATCCTTTCCAAGTTAAGTCACTCTACACCTTGAAGAAAGACCAATTCAATATTACTAGCTATTAGCTACGTTATCAATTTAATAAGCCCTTACAAAGTGGTGGCTCCTTTACAAAACCGTTACAAATTGGTGGCATCCTCGTTACAGTTTGTTGGTCTTTTACCGGGCCAGTGCTCAATTTTCATTTTTTTCTGCATTCTTCACAAGTGGCTTTGTCACTGGAGCAAGACTGGGAAAGATGTTTAAGAATTAGCAGAAGTATACATGACACTGCATGTGTCCATATCCAATAACCTGTCCTAAGAGATTGAGGGGGCGGGTTTGTGTTCTCCTTGTTAGTAAAAATATCATGATTTTTACTAACAGTACATCATGTCTTCCTGAATTTCCTCTTTTCCTCAGGAATATTCCCCACAGCACGGTTTCAACTGTTTACATCTGCTATAGATATGACAACATTTTATTTTCTAGTTTATCTGTATTGTTATAGAAAATTGTTATTGTCTATATGGCAATAGGAAGAATAACCCTGTGCAAAGCCAGTATGGCGTAGTTGTTTGAGTGCTGAACTAGAATTCTGAATTTCTGTTCAGCTATGGAAACCCACTGGGTGTCCTTGGGCAAAGCATACTTTGTCGACCTCAGAGGAAAGCAAAGGCAAAGCATATCCGAACAAATATTTCCAACCCCACAAAATGCTCGCTTTAGGATTGCCATATGACAGAAACAACTTGAAGGCAATACCAAGGAAGAATGACAGATAGTAAATACCAAAGAATCAAGCTGATCCCATTTGGATTTGAAAGAGCAGTCAGAGAGTATACAGGGTTTATTTTCCTTCTACTGATGGAAGGCCAAAAAGACAGCTACATTCTGTGGAAATACATTCCAAACAGAACAAATATTGATACAGAAACAGTATTAAAACCCAACTCCCTTTAAAAGTTTACTGTAAGGTGGAAGTATTTTCCTCTTGAAACCAATTAGTCATGAATGAGAAATGACCACAGTGACCATTTCACGTTAACCAACACCCTTCTTCTTATTACCAGACAAACAGGAAAGACTGGTTTGAATAAATACTTCTGAAGAGACAAAATTTAAATAAATTAACCCCGTAATAGGAGGTAATTGTCCATAAATATCCTCCCTGATTGTGTTTGCAAGGAAATATGCTTTCATGCATAACATCAATAGCAAGCCGAAAAATATTTTACCCAGAAGCTCACTTTTAATAATGGATATAAAAACAGATATTATACTGGCACCAAATTTGTGTTCCCCATCAAAAATTCTTGGCCAATGTCTAAATGTTCACCTTCAAAAATTCAAGACAAGAAGGCCTACCTTCTACTCCAGGGGTCCTCAAACTTTTTAAACAGAGGACCAGGTGACAGTCCCTCAAACTGTTGGAGGGCTGGATTATAATTTGGAAAAAAACCCAAAAACGAATGAATTCCTAGGCACACCGCACATATCTTATTTGTAATAATTAAAATGAAGAACAATTTTAACAAATATAAACTTATTAGTATTTCAATGGGAAGTGTGGGCCTGCTTTTGGCTGATGAGATAGGATTGTTGCTGTTGTGTGCTTTCAAGTCGTTTCAGACTTAGGTTGACCCTGAATAAGGGCCAGGTAAATGACCTTGGAGGGCCGCATCCAGCCCTCGGGCCTTAGTTTGAGGACCCCTGTTCTACTCTATTCTGCATAAGATGCTGTCTATTCCATCTGTTCCCGACCAGCATCTTCAGGTTCCCACAACCTAGAGTTCTCCAAATATCACTGACTAACTTTCGTAATACCTTACCAGTGACACTGTTAGCTGGGACTGATGGGATATGCAGTCAAACACATATGGCAATCAACCACCTTTGACTTGACTTGCCACAAGTCTTTCCTCCCAAGGTATTGAATTTTGTATGCATGCAGTAGTAAACATCAGATCCCAATTATAAGTGGAAAGACAGCTGGCCAGCTGGCCAGATACCCATGAGAAGCCAATGTGAAAGACACAAATGTAAAATGACTCTCCCAAATCTGTCTCCCAGTGAACAGTCTATTGAGATATGTGCATTATTTGATTTGTTGCTGTTGTGTGCCTTCAAGTCATTTCAAACTTCCAGTGACTCTAAGGTGGACCTATTACAGGATTTTCTTGGCAAGATTTGTTCAAAGGAGGGTTTCTTTTGCCATCTTCCGAGAGAGTATGATATTCCTAAGATTTCCTAGTGGGTTTGCATGGCTGAGTAGGAAGTCAAACCTTGGTTTCAAAAATCACAGTCCCATGTGGAACCACCATACCACACTGGCTTTGATACCAGAGGTTAACAAAATAATCATAGCTAGTTAGCACTGAGGGCTTTTCCCTCCACAAAATAACCCAATTTCTAATTTAAAGGCCATTAAACCAATTAGAAATAATGACATCTAATACAGACTAATATCCATCAACTAGTGTATAGCATCTAGATACAGAGAAGTCATATCCCTACTCTATTCTGCTTTGGTCAAATCCAACCGGGAATCCTGTGTCGAGTTCTTGGCACCACAATTCAGGAAAGATATTGGCAAGCTAGAACATGTCCAGAGAAGGGTGGTCAAAATGATCAAAAGCTTGGAAGCCAAGCCCTACAAGAAGTGGCTTAGGGAGCTGGATATGTTTAGCTTGGAGAAAAGAAAGTTGGGAGGGGACATGCTAACCATGTTTAAATATTTGAAAGGATATCACAGTGAGGAGGGGACATGGAACAATAGATTCAAATTGCAAGAAAGGAGATTCCACTGTATATTAGGATTGCTGACTGTAAGAGCTGTTCAGAAATGGAATATATTGCTTTCGAGTGTTGAACCCCCTGCTCTGGAGGTTTTTAAACAGAGGCTGAATAGCCATCTGTTGGGAGTGCTATGATTGTATATTCCTGCATGGCACAGGGAAGGACTGTATATAGTCTTTCAAAGGAGAAATTCTATGATTATTTATGATATTTTATATATCACTTTATATTTATTTATTTTATTTACAGTGTTTATACCCGTCCTTCTCAATCCGGAAGGGGACTCAAGAGAGACCATACAAGGACAACAATTCGATGCTATATACACAAAAGACATAAAATAAACATATACATTAAAACATGAATGTAAAATCATATCAAAATTAAAACACATTATGAAAACCATGCAATCCGAGATCATAGTCAAAAAGTTAAATGTTTCTTATGTAATTATTCAATAAGATTTTCCAAGGTAGTAAAAAAAAACCTGACAATCCAACAAGGCAAAAGGTTCAGCTAAATATGATTAAATATGCCTTTTAGCTTTCTTCCATACAACTAATGTAATATCATACATGTGATAATTACACACATGACAACTGAGGTATCACTCTAATAAACTTCAGTTAAATCTGAAACATGAATGAGACACAGGGTTGAGGGGAAGAGGATGGATGTATTAAAGAACTCACTGGACCTAAGCCAAAGATCATACAGTGCAAAGACCTTGTAAGGGGTGGCAATTATAGGAAAGAAATAGGACATCAGAATAAAATGTTATACTTGGCTACTTTAAGAGGTTGCTTTAAGTTTGAACAGAAAGAAGAGATCCAACTTAAGCTAGCT